TGTGAATGCGGAAAGTCCTAGCGACGTGCGACGGGGGTTTAGGTCCGAGGCGTCCGTCCAGCGTACCGTCAGCAAGGCGCCTGCGCCGTTACGGGTAGCGCGCTAATGGCGTCCAGTGGTAACGTCCAGCGGGTGCAACAAAGACGGAAAACGCAGACGGAGACGCAGACGGACAAGACACACGAAAACACAGTCGCAAACAAACGTATCCCCAACGTCTCAACGGCGCGTATCCAACGTCGCGTACTCATCACGCCCCACCCGGCATAGCGCGAGCACGGTCCAGTTCGACTCACGCAGCGGGGCAGCGGGGCGGTACCTGGATTCTGCCAGGCGGAGTGATATAAATGGAGGGTCAATATGGATGCGCTTACGCCATCAGCGCACGGACAGACGGGGCCATCCGTGAGCGATCAGCGGGTCTGTCGTTTGTTTTGGTCATCTCCCTTCTCCCTTTTCGTCCTCTCCTCCCTTGCTCACACAATTGTGCCAGCCCTGCCGTGCGCTGTCCTCGCATCGGCCGCCAAACATGGCCGTCAACCGCATTATCACTCGCTTATCCGCCAGCACCTCGCCACCACAGCCTCTTTGGACGAGCTCGGCGTTTGAGCCTGACAACACAGCCTGCCCCCACGCGGCTGCCCAGGCTACAGCCGCTCACCGGGTTGCAGCTGGGGTGCTGGGCTTCAAGCTCGGCGCGGCGTGTAACGGGTTCTGACCGCGTTGCTGCATGCATTTGAGCGGACCGAGAGTTGCCGGTGCCGTAGATATGACGGTTGGCTTGCATGACACGTAACTCTCGCCTCGCTGTGATGTGCTCGCCTCGTTCCGGCCGTGACGCCCGTCGTACCCTTGGTGCCCTCGCCGTGCCCCCTCGTGGTCTGCCCGGACTCGGACTGCTCACCCAAATCCCCTGCCTCGTCACTCCTCACCTAAATCCCCTGCCTCACCCCTGCCTCACGTGGGCCGCCCCTTGCTGCAACCCATCGATCACGCAGGCGGGGCACGCATACTCACGTACGTAATGGACAGCGCCTAGACGCAGCAGCGGCTGTTTTGCCGCCGCATCCCGGCCCATGTCGCTCGTGAGACGGAGCCGAGACAGAGCCAAATACCTTTTCCAGGCAGCCCGGGATTGGGCCGCCACCCTAGGGCCCAACCAATGGCGGTCGCGGGCGGCTGCGATGAGGCTGCTTTCCAAACAGACCACTGGCCATGACGACACGGGCCGTGAATGGCGGTCGTCGAATGGCGTGTAATTCTCGGTGCATAAACATCACCACTGCCTGAGCAACTAGCTCGACGGTACGGGCCGGCTGGCCTCGTTGCGTGGGCGGCCGCTGACGCAGGGCGCGTAGAGCGGTATTTGAGCCGCAAATGTGCTGTGCATTTTACATTTTATACATGTGGTGCACAATATGGTGCACAATGTGGCCCCCTGAAGTGCCCGAAGTACCCCGAGGTGCCCCGAGCTGCCTGCCTGAGCTACCAGCTGCCTGCCCTGAGCTGCCTGCCCGCCCGAGTCTTGCAATATGCATTCATCCGGCACTCAAGCCCCGCCACCTCTAGCGTTTCTGGGTGTGGGTGACAGCTCATCACGCCTTGCTTCCGATGACCGTTTCCTGGGCCTACCGTCTAGCTGCCTTCCTAGCCTGCCGTATGGCTTCCTGGTTCCTGGCCTCCTGGTTCCTGGCCTCCTGGCCTCCTGGCCTTCTGGCCTCCTGCCTGGCCGAGCTCGGCCTGCACAGTCCGTCCTGCTTGCGGTCGCTCTTGGCCTGTTCTGCGGCCGCTCCTTGTTTTCTGTTCTGTGGTTGCTCTCTGCGGCCGGCTCCTTGTTCTCGTGGCTCGCCCTGTTACCTCCCTGTTGCCTCTCCGGTGCTCCTCACCCTGTCTGTCCCTGTCTCCCTCTCCCTCCCCCTCTCCCTCTCCCTCTCCCTACCCTTCCCTACCCCTCCCCTTAACCCTCGTCGTACAAACGCAGACTATTAATGCCCAAGTCTACCCCGTTCGGGCATCTACTCCTCTAGCAGATCAGTCGACGTGTCGCCAACCGCCCCCAACTCCAAGGCGCCCTGAGCTTCCAGATCAAGTCATGTAGGGTTGCGTGTACAAAGCCGACAGGGGTGGCAAAGTGCTGCTGTGGCCAGACTCGCCTGCATGGCGACCCCTCCCTGTTCGGACCACGGGCCTGGCTGGTGGCTGCTGCTGGTTGCTGTGGTGGTCCGCTACCGCTGCTGCTGGTCTGCTGCTGGTCTTCTGCTGGTCTTCTGCTGCTGCTGCTGCTGCTGGTCCGCTGCCACTACTGCTGGCTGCTTCTGCTGGCCCGCTGCTGCTGCATCCGGCCTCTCCCTGCCCTCTCCCTGCCCTCTTCCGCCCTCATTGCCACTCCCTTACCCTCCCTGCCTCCCCGCCCACTCTTAACGCCAATCTTTGAATCCGTAGCGGCTAATAGGGAATATTATTGCCAACATCGTCCACCGGTCAGACACCGCCCACGCACCCCACTGCCGAGTTGACACGGCATAGACGGCCGAGCGGAACCGAGCCAGGCTCAACGCTGCCGTCCAGTCTGCCATCCCGAGAGCACACGGTGAGTATTGGTGGGTGGACCAGCCACCAAGACCTTGCCACGTTGCTATCCTGAGGTCATGTATCACCTCGGTTCACGGCCTGATGCGGGGAGTGCAGGTCGTTCCATCGAGGCACGACTCTGGTCTGATAACTCGGCTGCTATCCAACGCGGCAGGCCAATATCAAAATCAAAGTGAATCCAGGCACAACCTCCACAGGCTGAATCCAGTGTGTGTGGGCTGCCTGTAGCCGAGCGTGGTGACAAGCCGTGGATGCATGGTGAGGTGGCATGCAAATCAAACGTCTGGCGATAGTGGAAGGCTGCAGCCGCGGCAGGAGCGCGAGTTGAGACTTTGATTTACGGATCAGCGGGAGCTATCGCCACCGTGGATGTGCAGCCGATGCAGCCGCTATTCTAGCCAGCCGATGCAGTCGCCCCTATTTCCAGCCGGTGCTATCAGTCACATATTCCTATGCAAATACAGGCATCGTGCCCTATTTCTATACAGGCATCAGTGCCCCTATCTAGATGCAGGCCCCTATCCAGCCTTGTGGCCTATCGTCCGCCCTGAAACCCCTTATCCAGACTAGGCTCAGGTCCGGGCTTCTAGCCATTACGGGTTCCGGTTTCTCAGACATTTTGCGGTAATTCTGTCAAAGTTCTCTCAGAACCCAGAAATTGCAGTAAACATTTGCAGCAGAACCCAAGTGCAGTCAATGTACGCAGAACCCAAGTCAACGTTCGTAGAAGCCAACTCGCTCGCAAAAAGGTCTCAACCACACAACTCGGAAAGAGGCGGGACCAATCGACCCTCACGCATTTAGCCAGAGTCGGTAGAGAAGCGGAACGGTCTCGACGTGGTTCCATTCGACGGCTCCAAACAGCGCGCCCCTCCCTCTTGGATCGGGGAGACAAGGGGCAGGCTCCGGCGGGCCAGTCCAAGATGCGCGCTCCCGCGCAACTGCGTCCGTCGCCAGCAATCCACAGGCACACCAGGAACAGCACGCAGCACGCGGCCCACCCCACTCGGTTCTATAGCTGCCGACGTGGTTGCATCCTGCCCTAGGCTTACGCCCCGGTGTGGGGAGGGCCTGCAGCTAACGACAGGGGCCTAGCATATGGGCCACGGCCACGGCCGGGCAGACACCTGGCGGCGCGGGGGTCGATATGTGTGGTGGTGGTGGTGGTGGTGGTGGTGCTGCCGTTGCCGTTGCCGCTGCTGCTGCTACTGCTGCTGCTGCTGCTGCTGCCTCTGCTCCTCTGCTCTGCTGCTCTTCCTACCGTCCTGCACCAGAGGACAGCGCAACAGGCCACTGCATGTCGCACCGGCAGGCGAGGTACTTGGGGTGCGCTATGCGTTGACCGCGTGCCCGCAAGCGCGACGCCCTCGCCCGCGGGTACCATGCTATCCACCTGTCCGCACCACACCCTTGCCGCTACGTCGTCCGGAGGGTGTGCGTCGAGACCCGGACAAGACGAGGGGGGAAAGACGGAGGTCGAGGGACGACAGCGAGCCAGGCCCACAGATGGGCATTGATAGACATGTATAAGAAGCCAAAGTGCCGTTCTCGTCAGCGTCCCCCTACTCCAATCCACAGCTCTGCCGTCTCGCATCCGTCCTCGATCTTCTGACCTCGCCGCGCCAGCATAAAAAAGCAAGACGACAGCACGACGGCGACACCCCACCCCCTTGTGAGCCGCCTGTGGGTTCAGCCCCAGACACCCTCGGTAAGCTGTCTCAGCTGTGCCTCTTGCGTGCCGTTCCGGTGGCACAGCCGGGTCTACGTTCGCTGACAGCAGTCTACAGTCGAGTCGATAGTCCGCCAGCCAGTCTACAGCCAGTCTACAGCCAGCCTACACCCAGTCTACACCCAGTCTACACCCAGTCACCCGCCACCGGCCCCCCATGTGCTACTTTGACCAGACCAAGTGGGTGTGCGGCTACTGGAAGTGGGGAAACTTCCGACAGCAGTGCACCAAGGAGTACCGCACCGGCGAGACGTGCGGGCTCAAGCTCGTGTACGAGACCTTTCACCAGGCGTCGACGTGCCGCCTCTGCGAGCAGCTCGAGAAGAAGCAGCGCCGGTACAACAAGATGGCGGCCGACGTCGAGCGCTGGTCGCGCGAGGGGGGGCGGCCGGCCACTATCGAGAAGACGCAGCAGGACATGTACGAAATAAGTCAACAGATGAACGCGATTTATCTGGAGCACCAGGCGAGAGAACGGATGCTGTCGTAAGGGGGCAGCAGACAAGACAACAGCGGGGAAGAAACAGCGAGCAGGAAAAGTAATGGGTGGCGTTGGCGTAATGTGGATCTGGGTTATTATTTCTTTTATGTCGTCATGCCTCTCCTTGGGTCAAATACGTTACTTGTGGATGAGCATAAATGCGAACCCACGTCCAGGAACATAGGGCAAGCTCGCTTCTAGCCCGCTTCCAGTTGCAGCCCACTCCAGTCCTTGCAGTCTTGAGCCCACTTCCAGTCTTCTATTCTTCCAGCCCACTGTGGCACTACAAAAGCCGAGATCCGACCCAAGATGATGGCATGCGGCAGCGGGGGCACAGGGACAGGGTCGTCGACGCTTGGCTGATTGTGAGTCCTGAGGCTGGAAACCGTCCAGGGCTCAGACCGTCACCGCTAGAATCCTCTGCAAGCCGAAAATACTGTACGCACCTGCACCCCCTGGCCGCAGCCCGACATCGGATAAACTACAGACACCCCGGTCGATAGGGCAGACGCACAAAGAAAAATGCGGGCATGCCGCGTATTATCTATCAAACGTAACGCAGTATCATACAGATGTGCAATAGTCGACAATGCAACAGTCAACCATGCAACAGTCAACGCAACAGTCAACGACAAACAGTCAACGACAAACAGTCAATGACAAACAGTCAACGACAAACAGTGCCCGACGGCATTGGGCTCGCCATCATGTGACAGCGCAACCCCCGCACCCCGCATGGGACGTAGCAATGCAGCCAAGAGAGAGAGCTGGTCGTGCCACGTCTGCCGGTGGTGTGACGTGACGCTGGCCAGGCCGCTGGGCCGAACGACGGGGCAGGGGAGGCCCTGGGAGGCAGGATGGAGTCGGCGCTGGCCGTTGGTCATGTGGCTGGAGGCGTCTGCCGGACTGGTTCCGGGTGTAGGCGTGATTGGGGCGGCTGCCGTGAGTTTGGTAGAGCCGTGGGCGGCGCGTCTGCGCAGGATACGGCGTCCGTCACCGCTCCACGGCATCCGCAAACGTCCCAACCAGCGGCCCGGCCTCCTTGGGCGCCGGCTGCAGCTCCACGTGGTCGTCCCACGGCACCCAGTCGACCTTTGTGCTGGCCGTGCTGCACACGCTGGCATCGTCCGACAGCTTGGAGAGCAGGTTCTGGTACCGGGCCAGCCGCGCGTCCTGGCCGGGGAAGGCGTAGGCGGGGGCCTCGTCCTGGGGCGCGATCTCGAAGATGTCGACCATGTTGCTGATTTGTTAGCGTCGGGTCTCCGAGAGGCACTCGGAGGCACTCAGAGGCACTCACTCGGACGTCCGCGCCACCACGCGCTGCAGGGCCTCAATCTCGCGCTGGGCCTCGAGCTGGTCGTCCTGGCCCGTCATCTGCTGCTGGAAGCTGCCGTAGTGGAGGCCATTGGGGTCGTCAAAGAGGAGACGGGACTCGTCGTCCTGCGGCGGTTGGCACGGATCAGCACGGATCAGCACGGCGCGGGTCAGCACGGCGCATCCAGGGTCGGACTACATACCTCTTCGAATTCCTGGCGCTGTCCGCCGAGACAGGAGCTGCAAGCGCCCATGGTTGTGGGATGTTGATTGAATGTTGTCGCCAGGTCGGTTCATCAGCCGCGGCCTGTCGACGCGTTGGTCCACTCATGCGTCTCCACTGTGGGGCCATTAGCGCAGGGAGCTAACGCCTATACTCCCGGTCGAGTATTGACATCAATTGCTGTGAGGGATAATCGAGGGATGTCATTTCCCTCCTGTCTACAGTCTCCCTATATATACTATCGTTCCTGCTACGTCTTGTCTGTGTCTCCAATCTCTGCTTTTTCCGGTCCCTTCCATCTACGGTGTCCCTATATAACGGTCCCTTCTGTCTACGGTCTATACGGTCCCAATCTCCCTGAAACTACGCCCTGGACATGCTGCAATATGCCAATATCACGCTCCCTGCTCCCTAGCAGTCGGTCTGATCTGCTGCCAGTTCGGGGATAAAAGACCGCTGTCGCCATCACCATGGATCAGCACATCGCCATCACATCATCGCCATACTCACCATCACCGCGTCACATCCCACACCACCCACCACCACCATGCGTACCTCCCTCTTCCTTGCTGCCATCAGCTGTGCTTCGGCCGCCCAGACCCGGCCTCGTGAGGTCTTCGGCCGGTGGCACAAGCCCAGCAACACCTGCGCCTGTCCCGCAGACGCCGTGACCGTCACGCATACAGTGCCTTCTACAGTGTTTGTTACCATCGACGGGCCAACGGTGACTGTGGGCGGGACAGTGACGGTGACGGGCGTGACAGTGACGGTGGGCAAGACGCTCACCGAGACGGTGGGCGAGACCAAGACGGTGCCTGTGGTCACCAAGGTCAGGACTCGACCCAGTGTCGTCACCAAGACCAAGACTTTGCCGGGTGGGATCGTCACCGAGACCAAGACGCTGCCGGGCGGGGCTGTTACTGAGACCAGGACTCTGTCGGGTGAGGTGATCACCGAGACCAAGACGTTACCCGGGGGCGCTGTCACGGAAACAAAGACGCTGCCCGGCGAGGCGGTCACCGAAACCAAGACGCTGCCAGGCGGTGTCGTGACGGAGACTAGAACCCTGCCCAGCGGAACCGTGACCGAGACCACAACATGGCCCGGTGGTGTGGTCACCGAGACTAGAACCTTGCCCGGCGACATAGTGACCGAAACTCGGACCCTGCCCGGCGGCGTGGTTACCGAGACCAAGACATCCCCCGGCGGCGTGGTTACCGAGACCAGAACCCTGCCCGGCACCGTCGTCACCGAGACCAAGACATCCCCCGGCGGCGTCGTCACCGAGACCAGAACTACCCCCGCCGTCACAACCGTGACCAAGCCCAAGGGCCACTACTGCCACCGCCGGACGTGCTACAACAGCCACGGTGAACCCGTCTCGACGCTCCCCCCGGACACTACCGGCTGCAGCGCCAGCGCGTCGACGCTGATCAGCACCGTCTTCACCACGTACACGCAGACGGTATGGCCGACGCCAAGCGTGGTTCCGAGGGGTGGGAAGGGGATGGGACTGTTGGGATAGGCTGTGGACCATGAGTTTAAGTGAAGACGGGGAGACGGGACAGACAGACAGAGAGACAGACGTAATGTAATCAATTCAGCCTCTTCTCAAAAACCCTCACATCACACGGCCCCGCCAACATCGGCGCCAGCTCGGCGTAGTGAGTCTCGGCCTGGTCGCGGCGTATGACGACGTAGCCGGACCGCTCGTACCAGGCTGCCAGCCGGACCTTTTCCGGGTGATCCCAGGCTCGCGGGGTCAGCAGGTCGATGTGGACGGCCGACGCCCCCCGCGCCCGGGCCTCGTCCTCGCAGAAGCGCACCAGGGCGGTGCCGAGCCCGGTGCCCCGCGCGGCCGGGTCGCAGGCCAGCATGGCGATAAGAGGGACGTCGCGCCGCTGTAGCCGCACGGCGCCCAGCACGGTGGATGCGTCGAGCGTGCCGGACCAGGCGAGCACCAGCTCCGAGGCGTTGATGCAGTGCTGCAGGTCAGCGACGCTGGTGCGGCAAAAGGGCGCGCTGGGAGCCCAGATGCCGGCCTCGGACTTTGTGTAGGCGTCGTTTATCAAAACGACAAGATGGTTGATGAGAGCGTGGTCGGACGCGGCCGAGGAGGAGGCAAAGGCGAGTTGGAAGGGCATTGCGGTGAATGTGAATGTGTGTTGAGGGAGAGGTGGAGAAATCGATTTATTTGCGGCGTTGAGGGTGACGTATCTCTAGAACAAACCTCGACCTTAACCTCACCTCGACCACCCAAATCACACAATCAACCCCAAATCACACCTCAACCACCCACCCACCCAACAGCATGCTCGCCGCTTGGACGAGGCCAGTGCAATGCAGGCTAACGATCCACGGCCCGAGGGCGATGGACCCGACCGACCTCTCGATCAACCTCTAGGCCTCGCCATCAACGGCCTCGGCCTCGACCAGCTCCCAACCCCAGATGGCACTCCCACTAACTGGGCCTCTCGATCGCCCGTCATTCCCGTCATGCCCGACGAGAGCGCCATAGATGAGAGCCCGGTCGCCGGCGACGGCACCGAGGAGCGCGACCTGCGTGTCGACACGGGACCTCGAACCCAGTCGGTCAGCAAGGACGGCGTGCGCAGGCTCTCGGCCAGCAAGATGCGCGAGCTGGCCGCCTCTCCAGAGTCGCTGCCCGTGGCCCCGATCCCGGACCGCAGCCCTGTCGGCGCCACCCTCAGCCACCCGCTCTCCGCCAGCATCGTCGAGACCGCCGCCCGCCCGTCAATGGCCGACCAGGCCCGCGCCGTGCTGCAGGGCTCCCTCCCTCTCGAACCCGACCGGCACGGCCGCAGCCACCGCGCCACCGTCAGCGATAAGCCCGCTCGGCCCGCCGGCTCCCCGCGCACCCTGTCGACGCCGCCCATGAGCAGGCAAAAGTCCAGCAAAGAGCAGCCGCAACCGCAACCGCCCGCCGGCAGCCGCAGGAACTCGTTCCACCCCACTCCCCGCCTCAATGGCATCCAGATCCCGCTTAATGGCATCCAGATCCCGCCCAACGGCGTCCCGCCCAGCGCCCCGCCCAGCGTCTCGGACCAGACCCAGACGCCCCAGCTGCTGCCCGCCGAGACGCCCGTCGAGTCCGCCAGCGTCCCCCTCCCTCCCATGTCGGTCCCCATGTTTCTGCAGCTCGAGCTGGCCGGCGAGCGCCCCAGCCCCCTCTACATCCAGCACTCGTATGCCAACGACGTGCCCTACGAATCGAGCGCCGTCAAGTTCGAGCGCCTCAAGAACTTTCTACTGCTGCCGTCCTTTCTCGAGCGCACCATCTGCTTTGGCGCCCTCGCCTGCCTCGACGCCTGGCTCTGGACCTTTACCATCCTGCCCATGCGCTTCGTCATCGCCCTGGGCGTGCTGGTCAAATGGTGGGGTTACGTGGTGGTTAGGGAAGCCCGCTGGTCCATCGGCTACGTATGGTACGGCCTGGGCCGCTGGCTAAGGCGGGGACGGGCCCGCGACTCGGCCGGCGAAGAGTCCCGCAGCCCCAGCAGGGCCCGTGAGGCGAGCGCGCCCAGCTCAGCCGTCGAAGAGCCGTCGGTGCAGTTCGAAGCGCGCAAGCCGGCCCCTCCGCTGCGGGCGCCCCGACACCGTGGCCGCAGGGGGCACCGACGCACCAAGTCGATGCCATCCAACCTCACGTCCTTTCACAAGGCCGATATCCTCCAGGGCTTTGTGATTCTATTCAGCTGCATGGCACTAATGCGACTCGACGCCAGCCGCATGTACCATTTTATCCGCGCTCAATCGGCCATCAAGCTCTACGTTATTTACAACGGCCTCGAAGTGGGTGACCGGCTGCTGTCGTCGCTAGGCCAGGACATATTCGAATGCCTGTTTAGTACCGAGGTGCTGGCCCGCAACCACCTGGGCCGGTCCAAGGTGCTGGTGCCGTTTGGCATGTTTCTTCTGGCGCTTATTTACAACACGTGCCACGCCATCACTCTCTTCTATCAGGTCATCACGCTCAACGTGGCCGTTAACTCGTACAACAACGCGCTCCTAACACTGCTCATCTCCAACCAGTTTGTCGAGATCAAGAGCGCCGTATTCAAGCGGTTCGAAAAGGAAAACGTGTTCCAGCTCACGTGTGCCGACATTGTCGAACGCTTCCAGCTGTGGCTAATGCTGCTCATCATCGCCATGCGCAATATTGTCGAAGTCGGATTCTGGACTATCCCAGGCGCTATTTCGGGTGGTGGTCCGGACAGCGATGATCCGTCCTTCAAAATGCCGCTGCATAGCCCGTCGGTACTGCCGGCCAGCTTCACGGCCCTGCCGGCCTGGCTGTGGTCAGGCGAAGTGCTATCTCCGTTCCTGATCGTGACGGGCAGCGAGACGGTGGTGGACTGGATCAAGCACGCCTATATCAACAAATTCAACAACATCAAACCCAACTTTTACAGCCGCGTGCTGGACATCCTATGCAAAGACTACTACACCAACGCCTTTGTAACCCCCTCGCTGACCCGCCGCCTCGGCCTGCCGCTGCTGCCGCTGTCGTGCCTTTTTATCCGCGCCTCGGTCCAGACGTACCACATGTTCCTGGCCACGCACCTGCCCGCTCCGCTGCCGTCGTCGACGCAGACCGCCCTGGCCGAGCCGACATCCGCCACGCCGTCTTCCCCCGCCATGGCCGCGTCTCTGGACCGCCTGGACACGCTGATCCGCAACGCTCTGGGCCGCGCCGTCCACGGCCTGCCCTACGTGGGGAACGAGTCGGCACCCACCTCGCCTTCCGACTTTGCCACCTCCCCCAAGCCCCTCGTCGGCGACTGGACCACCGACGACGCCATCGCGGCCCTGACCATGCTCACCTTCTTCTTCCTCGCCTTTCTGGTGCTGCTGGTGCTCAAGCTGCTGCTGGGCATGGCGCTGCTGCGCTACTCGCGCAGCCGGTACGCGCGCATGCGCCGCCGGGAGCTGGCCGTGGCCGCCGGCCGCCTCGAGCCCGAGGTGTTTGACCAAAAGGGCAGCAAGCGCGTCGGCGGCTTCGGCCAGGTCGAGGTGGGCGACGAGCGGCGCGCCAAGCTGTACGAGGACGACCCGGAGGGGCTCAAGAAGGCGCAGGCGACGGAGCGGCGCAACGTCGGCAAGCGGGAGAAGAGCGAGAAGGATCTGGGGCGGATCAGCCGCTACGAGATGGTGGCGAAGCGGATTTGGTAGGGGCCGAGAAGGCAACGTGCAGGTAACGCAATTCACGTATTGATGCATTTTTTATTTATCCTGCACTTTCCATTACTTTGAGTGCGAGGACCTGGGAGAGGTGGTGACGCGGATTTGGTACCAACCCGCAATATTCATATTAGTCCCATACCCGATCTATCCTGCATTTTCTCCCAACAGAGCGAGAAGGACGCATCGGCCGCTAGAATGTGGCGAGGCGGGTTTGGTAGGCTGGCAAAACAGGCAGATAGACCGCAATTCCTTGCAAGATGGACCGCAAACTCATCGTATTGATATCCGTATCATCCACTTCCACTTCCGCATCCACACCCATCTCCCACTCCCTACATGACCGTGCACGGAATCGGGATGCAGCAGCACTGGTAGCCGTCGCACTCGAAGCACTTGGTGCCAGTCGCCTCGGCCGGCTTGACGATGCTCGAGATGGTGGACGCGGCAGAGCTGCCGGGGCCGTTGGGGGCGGGCATCTGTGACGTCAGCATGGCTCGGGCGGCGTTAGCGGGCTGCTTACCATGAAATGGGTGTTTGGTAGTGTTTTTGTCTTATCTCGGGGTGGGCTGGCTGGTTGGTCTCGTTCGTATCCAAGTTGGGGTGGGTTTGTCGGTCAGAGAAGACGCGGGCGGGGGTGGGGGCTTTAAGCTGGGGCTTTAAAGCCCGCGCGTCCCTGTCTTGGCACGTGTATCCAATCACAGCACAGCCACGTTGAGCAGCACGCCTGAGCACATGACAAACAGTGACGATTCGTGTCCTACATACTACTACTACTACGGAACCAGACCAAGAAATCGTAAAGAAAGCTCTCACGAGCAAGAAAGCTGCTCAGAACGGCAAGCCAAACATCAAAAGACAGGGTATGCGAAACACCATACAATAGGAAATCAGCTCTGCGGATTCGGCGCTGGGACTGGCACCTGTGTCACCGGCCTCGGGGCAGGCTTGGGCTGCGTGTGCGGGATGCGCGGAATCGGCACCGGAGTCTGCGATATCGGTCCGGGGCGGGCCTGGGCGGCCTTGGGGGACGCGGCGGACGGCGTCTTGGGCGATGCAGGCACGGCCTTGGGGGATGCCGCCACGGCCTTGGGAGGGAGTATTTGGGTTGTTGGCTTTGGCCGAGGCTGGGCGCGGGGTGTTGGGGTGGCGTGAGGGCGTTGTTGTTGATGCTGTTGCTGTGGCTGCTGCTGATATCCCTGCTGCTGCTGCTGCTGCTGCTGCTGCTGCCCCTGCTGTTGCTGCCCCTGCTGCTGCTGCCGCTGCTGCTGCTCCGTCTGCCTGCTAAACTCCCCGACTAGCTCCGTAAGCGACGCCAGGTCGTCCCTAGCACGCTGGCTGCTCTGCAATATCGTCTTGATCGCTATCCACTCCTTGGCGTGCATCTTGTCCGCCCCCGGCATCAGATACTGCAGACTTGGACTGCTCCACAGCTCCTCGCCCAGGATTTGCCGCCCTACCGTCACCCCCCGCATCTGGTCACGCTCCTTGGCCGCGCCGTAGTCGAGAGGGCCCGGCGCCGGCGTGATGGGCGACATCCCAACAGGCCCTCCATTGGTGTGCGTGTTGGGCGTATGCGCCAGGGTCTGCCCCTGTCCCTCCCGCAACCGCCTCAGCTGCTCCGGATCGTTCTGATAGACAAACACAATAAGCAGCATCGGCTCCGTTCGGTTTTCAGGCACCAGGTTGTCCTGCAGGTTCATCATGATCTCGGGCATCTCGCCGTCGGGCAGCAGCGGGATGAGGTACATGTCGCGTACGTTGGGGAGGGCTTTGGGGCCTGCCACGCCATACTTTTTGCGACTAATAAAGTACTCCACCACCTTTTGGAACTGCGGCTTGGCAGCCTCGCTCGTCGGCTGCAGGCTGGCGATAACGAGGTCAAACATGCTCCGCCACCGCATGCCGCACAGGTACGACGACGCCGCGTCTTTGCCGAGGCGACCGTCCACGGTGATGCGGCTGGGAAAGAGCGTATCCCACGGCATGTTGTAGACCACTTTCAGGTTGCCCCCTCCCATAAATTTGGACGACACCGTCAGCGTGGCCACACCGGGCATCTCGAGCGAGCCCCGCCAGATGACGTCGGGGTCCTCCGTCTCGTCTGTGGGCGAGTACGGCGGCGACTCGGCTTCATCGGCAATCAGCCGATCCACCTCGGCGTCGTCCACCGGGCTCCTGGACGTGGGCTGCGACGGGCGGCGCACCGGTTGCGTGGGAGACTTGACCTTGGAAAACACCTGCTTAATGTCAAATCCCGAGGCTTTAGCAGAGCTCTGCGGATCGATGCGGAGCGGCCGCCGGTACTCGACGTCTGCCGGCAGCTCGACCTCCATGGCGTCGTTTGCCACCTGCTCGGGCTCGGCGGGAGCGGGAGCGGGCCTCGCCGGCTCATGATGTCGCGACACTGGTGCGTCATCCGTCGGCGTGGGCTCGTCGTCGTTGCCGATAATCTCCTCGCCCTTGTGCGTGATCTTGACCCGCGGCCCCTCCTCGGTGATGAGGATGCTCTGCTTCTCGGCGCGCTCGCGCATCTTGGCCGTCTCCCGCTGCAGCTCCTTGCTCGCCAGCTCGTCCGTGGTCATGGTGGCCAGCATGGGCGGCGACAGCGTGCGCTCCACCAGGCGCTTGACCAGGTCCAGGTTGGTCTTGATGTTGAAGGCCAGAGTCTTGATCTGCCCGCCATATTCCTTAGCGTTGGCGTGCGTGTCCTCGACTGCTCGCTCGACTTGGAGGGCCAGCCGCTCGGCGCGCTGGGCTGTCGTGGCCCCATCGTCAAACTTGTATGCCTTCTTTTCCAGGCCCACTATGGCGGCCGTTATGCTCTTCTGCAGCGCCTTGGCGGGGTTCTGGCGCGGCTGCGGAAGCTCCGCGAGAGCTGATGCGAGGTCGGCCGGCGGGTCGTAGGGCACGATGGGGCGCTGAGGCTCGGGGGCCGGCTCCGGGGCGGGGGCCTCTGGGGCATCTTCAGCGGGCGCGGGCACGGCCTGAGACTCGGACACCTTGCGCAGCTTGGTTCCCTTGTCTTCTGCGGGCTCCTTGGCCTTGCGTTTGGTGCTGGGTGTTGGTTTGGGCTTGTCCGCGGGCGTGTCTGGGGTGGGCGCCTTTTGTGCAGACGTGGCCTTTTCCGGCGCCGGTTTCTCCGGGGCGGGCTTCTCTGCGGCCTTCTCAGGCTTCTCTGCCGGCTTCTCCGGCTCCTCTGCGGCCTTTTCGGGCTTCTCTGCTGGCTTCTCCGCGATCTCGGGAGCGGGCGTGGCCTTCTTCTTCTCCGGCACCGGAGTCCCCCCCTTGCCCTTAGGAGTCGCCTTGGGAGTCGCCTGCCTCTTGGGCACCGGCGTCTGCTCCTTCACATCGCTCGCGCGCTTTTTGGCGCCCCTCTTAGGACCCCCCTTCTTCTTCTTCTTGCTCTCCTCCTCGTACACCCTGCGGCGGTCCTCCCACGGCTTCTCCCCCCGCGCGATGCCATCCAGCAGCTCCTTGTGGTCCTCGGGCTTGCACATCTCGCAGAAGTACTCGCTAGTTAAATCCTCGTCGTAGATGCTCTTGCCGACGCACACGTTGTGCTGCCAGGCGGTGCACTTGTCGCACGCGATCCATGGCTCGCCCGAGTCGCCCGTCTGCTCGGTGGCGCCGCAGACGCAGCGGATGATCTCCTCCTCGGGCTCCTCTGGCTCCTCCTGCTTCTTCTTGCGGCCGCGACGCTTGGGCTCGGCCGGCTGGTCAAGGTCCAGGTTCTTAGTGTTCTGGCCTTTGGTGCTGCGGACCGACCGTCGGGGTTCTTCGGCTGTGGATGTTAGCGCTGGAAAAGGGCAGGCGCTGCTAACGGCAATGCTTACCAGACATGCTTGCGAAGCGACAGCGCTCGCCGCGATAGCCTACGTACGGTCTACGACTACACTACGGATTCGGCAACACGCATAGGCTACTTCGTAGGCGCGCAGGCGCAATGGCTCGACGTCAGGGCGCGAGTCAAGTCGGTGGGAGGCGCAAGACAAAGACAGCACAGCGGCGCAACGCGATTGGAACTGCCTGGACTGAACCTCGGCGGCGTGAGCTGCGAGCTGATGAGCTGGTGAGAGCTGGGTCATGGAGGTAAGGTGGTGGGAGCTGGCAGTTTGAATTGCGGAGGTCGGGGATTTGCGCAAAACACGTGCCGTTATGTAATCCATGCATCCCCGCCGATGCCTGGCAGACGAGGCAGTCACAGTGCGCCACAGTGCACACACGAGCTACGTGCGTCCATGGTCGATGCCTAGATAGATGCTATAGCTCCAGCGCGTCCCACTGCGGGCAGCTCCAGCTCCCACCGACACCACCTCGTCCAGCAAACAGCACAATGTCGCGCAGATACGATTCCAGGGTATGTGTCCAGTTGCCTCCAGTCGTCTGCCTCCCAGCTAACAGCCCAGACAACAATCTTCTCCCCAGAAGGCCGCCTCTACCAGGTCGAGTATGCGCTCGAGGCCATCTCGCACGCCGGCACGGCCATCGGCATCCTGGCCAAGGACGGCATCGTGCTGGCGGCCGAGCGCAAGGTGACGTCCAAGCTGCTGGAGCAGGACACGTCGGCCGAGAAGCTGTACATTCTGAACGAGTGCGTCCAAGGTCCCCGCGCACCACCCCCGCCCGCCCCCAGCTAACCCCGACCAGCAACATGATCTGCGCCGTCGCCGGCATGACGGCCGACGCCAACATCCTCATCAACTACGCCCGCCAGGCCGCCCAGCGCTACCTGCTCACGTACAACGAGGACATACCCTGCGAGCAGCTGGTGCGGCGGCTGTGCGACCTCAAGCAGGGCTACACGCAGCACGGCGGCCTGCGCCCGTTTGGCGTGTCCTTCATCTACGCCGGCTGGGACCCGCAGCGCCAGTTCCAGCTGTACCTCAGCAACCCGTCGGGCAACTACGGCGGCTGGAAGGCCACGAGCGTTGGCGCCAATAATGCGTCGGCCCAGAGCCTGTTGAAGCAGGACTACAAGGAGGACTGCTCGCTGACCGAGGCGTGCGGCGTGGCGGTCAAGGTGCTGAGCAAGACGATGGACTCGACGAAGCTGAGCAGCGAGAAGAGTGAGTTTGGGTGGTGTGTGGGATGATGTTCACATGGATCATCACATGCTAATTGTGTAGTCGAGTTTGCCACTGTTGGCCAGACCCAGGACGGCAAGATCTATCACCGCCTATGGAGCGCCGACGAGATCACTGCGCTGCTGAAGGAGCACGACCTGGCCAAGGACGAGTCGACGGAGGACAAGTGAGACGGTTGGAGGGATGGAGAGGAACATGGAACAAACAGGCACTGCAACGCATGCATTGCAACAAATTCAATGACAGATGAATGCCATTCGCTGTGACGCTATCCATGAGGTCCGTGTGCCGTATATCGTCTGTCGCCATATATTGTCCACCGTCGTATAATGCCTGCCGCCATATTCTACCGTGTATAGGCAAAGCCTACCGCATCTACATCTACCGCATCTACCACACACGTGTCAGCAGCGTTCACACTCCAGCCGGCTCCTTCACACTCCAGCCAACTCGTAGCCTACATTTCTGCCCGCCTCCACGTCCCGCAGCCGCCCGTAGGCCCCGTCCGGGCTCGGGTACGGCTCGTCGCTCCGGCCCGACGTCAGGCGCGGCCAGTAGCGGCGGTAGCTCCAGTAGGCCACGACGGACCCCAGCAGCGCGCCCGTGCACACGTCGTACACGTCGTGCCGGTAATCCTGGCAGCGGCTGATGGCGATCATGGCGGCGCCCAGCACCGGCGCCAGGCACAGCAGCGCGCGGCCCAGGTCGTTGCCCGCGTGGGCCTGGACCGTGCGTTCTGCCACTACCGTCGCGTCGTCGTCGTTGCCGTTGCCGCCATCTAGCCCCCGCGCCGAAAACACCCGCAGCTGGCCCGCCAGGAACAGCGCCGTGTACCCCAGCCCCGCGAACGAGAAGCTCGAGTGGCCCGACGGGAACGACCGCCAGCCGTCGTGCAGCAGGTGGTGCGCCGTCTCGGTGCACACGGTCCAGTCGACCAGCACGTCGCGCGGCGTGCCGGCGGCCGGCTTGCAGCGCGCCAGCAGGTCCGGGCGCGGGCGGCCGACGGCATTCTTGACCACGTCGGTGACCAGCGTCGTGACGGCCAGGCCGACCAGCAGGCCCAGCAGCGCCACGTGGTGCTTGTGGGCGGACGCTCCCGAGATGCAGTTTGTGAGCGCCACGGCCGCGAGGGGCGCCAGGCCGGCGTAGACGACGTTCATGAGCACGGGCACGCGCTCGGCCTCGGCGTGCGGGAACGAGACGGCGAGGTCGGAAATCGAAAACATGCGGTGGAAGGGCTCGACAAAGATGACGATCTGGGCCGGTCAGCGGCGGGTGCGAGTGGTTTGCGGAGGATAATACGGGGGACCTACGCAGACGTAGGCGGCCACCAGCCCGGCGAGGGCCACATAGTCGGGGCCATACGTTCTCTGTTCAGTCAGCAACGCTCATGAAAAGGCCGAGGTCACTCACCCTGTAGAACCGGGACACGGCGGCGAGCACGCCAGATGCCTCGCTGAAAGAACCTCGTCTCGGGGCCATGGTGTGCCGTCTGGTAAAAGCTGGAATTCGGTGGGTGTCAGGTCCAGTTGCGGTGACAATGCCCAAGAGACCCCTGAAGCGCCCCATTGACACTAGCACGGGCCACATGCAGCCGACCCTACGAATAGCCAGGCACCACAGAGAGCAGGCACACACATGCATACAGCAGACATATACAGCAGACACATACAGACACATACAGAAGCCACAGACACTGCAGCCGATCCCATGAGCGAGCACAAAAACATCATTAACAAAACTACGCGGATATCATGCTCCAAACGTGTACCACAGGCCAATCATGGCATAAACAACGCCCTGCCACCAACGCCAACAAATAAAACCACCGAAATGCGTAAACATTAAGCGTTACTCCTCCTCAACCAGCCGCACCTCGGGCGAGTTGAGCAGGATGCGTTTGCCGAGATCTTCGCGGGGCTTTCCATCTCGGACGGCACCAAAATCGAGGATCTGTGTGCGGGTTAGTAAGAGCAGACACGAACAACACAGGACAGCAGAAGCAGAACTCACCTCGATATACGTAAGACCGGCCCTCTGCACCGCGGCTACGCATCGTCGCCCGTCAAACTTGACCTGCCACACCCCGGTAAGGTCCGTGAGCAGGTCCTCGATGCAGTCTCCTGTGGCAATGTCCCACATCTTGACTGTCTTTTCGCTCCCCGAAATCACCTTGCGTCCGTCATGCTGGAAACAGGTAATGGCGGCTGTGTGCGCCGTCAGGATGCTCTTGCACTTTCCCGTCTCGGGGTCCCAGATGCGCAGTGTGCTGTCGGCGGCGGCCGAAACCAGACGCTCGTCGCGCAGATCCAGCAGTCCCACCAGCAGGCTATGCCCCTCGAGAGTGTGCAGACACGCGCCCGTCTCAAGGTCCCAGATGCGCACCAGCGAGTCCATGGACCCAGAGATGCAACGGTTCCGCTTGTGGTCCAGCACCACAGAGTACACCTTTTGGCTGTGGCCGTGCAGCACGTGCAGCTGCTCGCCCGTGCTGATGCGCCAGACGCGGACGGTGCTGTCGTAGCTGCCAGACACCAGAGTGTCGGCGTGGGCCGAGATGGCGCGCACCGAGTGCGAGTGGCCCTGCAGGATCCGCAGGAAATACGGGCACTCTGCGTCGTTGGCCGGCGGCCCTGTCTGGATGTAGCGGCGCGACCCCGCCTCGGGCAGACGCCACACGCGCAGCTGGCTGTCGCGCGAGCCCGTGATGATGAGCGGCTTGGGCGGCATCATGACAGGCTTGCCATCCGGTCCCTGGCCCATGTCGGTGGGCATCAGGATCTGCAAACAGCGCACAGTCGACGTATGACCATAAAACACCTGCGTGCACAGGCCCTTCTCGATATCCCACACGCGTACAGAGCGGTCTGTGCTGCCAGACACCAGAATATTCCCCTCGTACTGCAGCGCCCACACGCCGCCCTCGTGCCCCTCGAGCTTCTGGCGCAGCTGCCCCGTGTGAGTGTCGTAGACGTGGATCAGCTGGTCGTCGCTGCCCGTGATGATCTTGTCATCGTCAAACTGCAGGCAGGTAATGACGTGGTTGGGGTGTGCCGCAAATGCGACGTGGCCGGGCTTGACCTTGCCGCTGGTCCAGTTCTGGCGGATCATGTAGTGGCGGCGGAACAGCGACTTGAACAGATGCAGACGGCGCAGGGTCGGCATGCCGATGCCGGGGTCGCTAACGGCCAGAGCTGCGGCCGTGGCGGCTGCGATGGGGCCCTCCCTCTTGTGGCCCGGCTCCTCGGCCCTGTCGTCCCTGGGCGCCTCCTGGGCGCTGGCACGGCGCTTGGACCGGTCTGACGGGTTTCCTGCCGGCCCCCGCTTGCGCTTGGAGCTGCGCAGCTTCTGGGCGGGCCTGGCCGACCGGATCAGCTCGGGCTCGGCGACCGTCATACGGCTCTGCAGGCTGAGGTCGACCTCGCAGCCGTGCACGCCCACCGGGTCCTGCCAGCCCCAGCCCTGCTGGATAGCCTTCTCCAGCTCGCCGACGGGCAGCTCAAAGCCGTTGCGGTCCAGCAGCTCCTTCCAGCCCGTCTCGTTGCCGTCGATGATGCTCCTCCACAGCTTGGACACCTGGGCGGCGCGGCAGAGGTCGCGGTGGTCCAGGTACGACAATATGTGCAGCGACAGCTCGATGGGCAGCTGTTTTAGAAAGTCGCACTTGAGCGCCGGGTTGACCACATCGGCCACCATGTGCAGCGTCTTGCGGGGGCAGCGGCGGAGCAGCTGGTACATGACAAACGTCTTCATCTCGCCCGGCATCGAGTCGAACGTCTCGAGCATGGAGCGCGTGTCGAGCATGTTGTGGGCGTCGTCGTTCCGCACGAGCGCCGACTCGGGTACCAGCGTGTCGTCGTCGATGGTGGACTGACTTTCGAGCCAGCGGGACCTGGCACGGCGGCTAATCGTCTGCGAGAAAGCCATGTCGTCGTCATCATCGTCCTGCGTGTGGAGCTGGGCTGCCTGCAGCGTTGGCGAGAGGCCCGGGCTAGGGAGACTCGCGTCTTGTGCGGCGATGGTGTCCACGGTGGGCCTGCGACGGAACGGCCGGGGCTGCGAGTCGTCGCCGTCAAACGGCTCGGGGTCCGTCTCTGTGATGGGGGGAGTGGCCACGGATCCGCTGAACGCCGTGTGCGAGTCGCTAGCAGGGCTGGCGGCGTCCAAGGGCTGGCTTCCTGACGGCTCGCCGACGTCCAGCGACCTGCGCCTGACGGGCTCGGTGCCGTCGGGCGTGGCCAGGTAGCCGGCCGCCGAGATGGCTCTCCTGGGCTCAAACGGGCGCAGCTTGTCGGCAACGGCCGTAAGGCTAGGGCGGTTGGTGCGCGAAAAATCCTTCTTTCCGAGCGAGCCATACCTCGCGTTCCTCAGGCCCAGGCCCGAGATCCTACGGTTCGACTTCCTGGGTTGTGTTGCCGGCGTCGGCGAGTCCTGCGTTGGGGTCTCGGGACCCGAGTCCTCCTTGCAGTCATCCTGTTTGGTCTGGTCACGTCAGCAAGGCATCCAAATACTGTAACACGCACCGACACGGTACGCACCGAAAAGTCCTCAAATGACGAGTCCAGCGAAAAGCCGTCGCTCTCGTCCAGATCGACCGTGAAGCGAGCCAGCTCGGGCGGGGTCGGGCGGTTGGCGAGCGGGTATTCCTTGCTGTCCAGCCCGCTCAGCGGTCGTCGTTGGCGGACAAGCAGCGGCGGGTAGGCCCGTTTTGTCGTTGTCGTGGTCGTCACCGTCTTGGTCTCGACGCACTCGGCCAGCTCAAACTGCAGCCTCGACGTCCTCCTGGTGACTGTGTTTTCGTCTTCATCCCAACTGACCGACACCTTTTGACTTGATCGCGGTCGACGGACCTCGGTCTTGACGGCCGGAGGGGACGCCATCGGCTCGGCCCTGGAGGCGAATGGCGAGGTGGCCACGGTCGCGGCGATTGCGAGATTGATGAGACGCGCGCGGATGGGTGACGGCAGTCAAGTCGGTCAAGTCGGTAAGTCGGTAGGTCGGCAAGTCGGCAAGTCGGCAAGTCGTAAGCCGTAAGTCGGTCGAGTGGCAGGACCGACGCGAGACTGACGGGGTCGAGTAGCGATGATGGATTCGTGAGAGGACGCAAAGTGTGGGAGTGGGACAAATGAAAGCAAATGAAATCTCGTTGGCTCGAGTCGGCGGAAAAGGGCGCGCCGCAGCTGCAGCCTCCCACCGCAACCAAAGTCACAACGAAAGCAAGAACGACGGGCGACAGGTGCAAACACGATGCAGCGTCGATGCCTTGGATTTCGGTTTGTGAGTTCCAACCGACAGTCCGATCCTACCAAGATCCGACCGTCGGGCGACGCTGAGTTGGGCAGGCCAGCGGTGGGTCGCTCTGTCTCACGTGCGCCTCGCGTTGGCACAACCTGAGCACGCCACGCCCCTCTGTTATCGGGCTAGTGGGTGGGTTCAAGAGCCGGGGATTCGAGTCAGGCTGCACTTGTTGGCAGAATCCTTCACTGGGGCTGAAATGTGGCTTCTAGCGCTTTTACAGTTACAGCGATCAGGGAGAAAAGCTCCCAGGGTCACGGCACAGGTCTTTCCGTGATCTGAGAAGCCTGGGGTTTAACCCGGTACATCCATATGTAAGCAGGCCAGCGCATGATCCATCACACCGCAGGCGTCAATCCGGCCACTCACAGCCCACAACACCTGCAGCCTGCTGGCGCCCTCGCTTCGTCCCAGCTGGTGTAACCTCCCCGTTTGCAGCACACATGGGACTGTAATCCATATGAGACTGTGGTCCATCGGATGGACTGCCACCTCAGCTCAGCCTCGGCCCAGACCAGGGCAGTGACGTGACAGCCGCATTGCAGCTCACTACCATCTCTTTTCGGCCAATTCGTCAAAGTTTGAGGGGAAGTCGGGTATGTCGGGAAGCATGGAAACCGGGTCGGGCTGCGGCGTGCTGGCTGGCCTAGCCAAGTGCGGGGGCGTTGACTTGGGCAGGATGTCGATGGACACACAGTCGGAGCACACGTATCCGGGCTTCCCTGCAAGCACGTCGTCTGCTGCGTCAAGATGGAGCTGGCTATCTTGGGTCTCGGAGCGCCCCTCGCGCGCCTGGTGCCAGATGCCGGCGTAGACGCGACCTGATTTGTTAGTGTCGCTGGTTCACCGACTGATCCTCGCCAACCTTTGATGCTCACTACCTTGAATCGGGGGCAGTCTCTGGAGCAAGTTCTCGATGCTTCCGGTACCGTCTGCCATTCCACTGCCGCCCATTCTGCTGCCTGCCCACGAAACAGAGACCGTCGAGACGCCGGTAGACTCGTGACGGATCTTGATGGTAAAATGCTCGACCATGTGCTTGGGATCAAGGTCGTTCGCGTCAAAAAGGCAGATGTGGATTTTGACCAGGCTCTCGTCCTCGACCATGGGCATTATGACCTCCTACTCTAGTCAGCCGAGTATCGGGGTATTGGGCACAAGTTAACCGAGGTCAGGGTATGGGCACAAACCAGCTGCTCGAGGATAATCGCGAGGTCCTCCTTGGTGTTGTATTTCAGCAGGACCACCGACTTTGGTCCGAACGCGACCGGCTTCCGGGTCTTCTTGGACTTGGACTCCCATCTGAGGAGATCTTGCCAGCGGGGGATATTTGCGAGCGTGACCTTGCCGACCGACTGGAAACAATCGCGCAGCAGGCCCCTCGCGAAGAAGATGCTGCTAACGAGGGTGAGGACTGTGACTTGAGTCTTTTGGAAGTTTCGGGTTGATGCCATGGTGATGGTTGATGAGCCTGGATGCATGGCCGCGATTACAATGGCAGTGGGATGGAGTGAGCCGACCAGAGGAAGGCACGACCGGCACGTGCCAACTTGATGGTGGCTGGAGCTGTTATATCACGAGCAACAGGTGCACTCATGAGTACAAGGGCTGACCAGGCTTCAACTGCATTACGAACAAGGAAATTGCAAAAGCATAAATCTATCGTGTATAAGTAGTATGTACAAGAAGCAAAATCGTAGAATCGAATCGTAAGCCGTAAAAGCACGCATAACAGTCTGTCGACGTAAACACCATCACTCACGCCATCACAGAAACCTCCCCCCGCTCCCGCTCCTTCTTCTTGAACAGTGACTTGAGCATGTTGCCCTTCTTCTCCTTCTTCAGCACCGAGTCCAACGTCGGGGCCTGATCCCGGCTCCCGTCCTCGATGGCCTTGACCGAGCTGCGCGTCTTCTTGGACCGCGACGACCGCTCGCTCCCCGCCTCGCTGCGGTTGTCGCGGTGCTTGCGGTCGTCGCGGTGCTTGCGGTCGTCGTCCCTGTGCTTGCGACGGTCTTCGTCCTTGCGGCTCTTCCGCTCCTCTTCCTTGCGGCTGCTCTTGCGTTCCGGCACCTCGTCGCGCCGGCTCTTGGTCCGCTTGGTGCGCACCGACATGGCGTCGTCGCCAATCGTGGACCGCAGCGCCTCCGGGCTGATGAGCTCCTCGTCGACCATCGTCCCGGTCTCCTCGTCGACCTCGATGCCGCGCCGCCACCGCTCGATGCTGCTCAGCTCCTCCTCGACCACGAGCGCCTCCTCGTAGTGGCTGCCCGGCCCGCGCTCGTAGTCCTGCGGGTGCGGCGAGGGCTCGTACTCGGTCTGCGCGTACTGCGTGGGCGGGTAGGGGTAGTGCGACGCGGGGTAGCCCGACGCCGGGTAGGCAGTCTCCGGGTAGGCCGACGGCGCGCAGGCGGGCACGGCGCCCATCTCGATGGCGGGCTGGGCCGGCATGGGCAGCGCCTGGCGGGCCTGCCCCTCCCTCATGCGCTTGACGATCTTGAAGCCGCCAAACATGACGACGGTGACGCCGACGGCGGCCGTGGCGGCGATCAGGAACTGCGGGCTGGCCAGCAGGGCAAAGACGGCCGGGGCGCCGCCCTTGACGACGCCCAGGAACCCGGGGCTCATCTTGGTCAGGAGTGCGCTCAGCTCGGCCAGCGTCAGGGCCACGGCCGCGGCGGCCTCGGGGTTGGTCTGCAGCCTGTCGATGATGGTGGCCGCCGAGTGCTGCAGACACTCGGCCTCGATCAGCATGCTTTCGATGCGTTCCATGAGGCTGCGGGCCTCCTGCTCGGGGTCCTTGACCTCGACCTGCTTGGGCTCGAGGTCTGTGCGCGACTCGAGGTCGGGCGGCACGCTGCCGTATGCCAGGTCCATGTCGATGGACTTTTTGGGGCGCAGCGCGGGGTCTGAGCGCGGACGGGTCACGAGGGCCTGTTGCGGCGCCTGCTGGAACGACGCCTCGGACGGAGGCGCGTTGTAGTACAGATCCGCATGGCCAGGCGGCCCGGGGTGGACGGGCAGCACCATGGCCCGCGCGTCGCCGGCTTGACTCGGAGGCGGCATGGTGGCTGCGTGGGCCAGGGTGGGACGCGACACCATCATGTCACGGGGCGCCGTCTCGGCGTAGGGCGAGCGGTAGGCGCGGGGCACTGCCGAAGGCGCCGTGGACGACACCTCGGAGTGGGTGCGCAGGTTAGACATGGTCAGCGGGGGACGGCGGGCCTCGGAGGCGCCGCCATCACCGTGCTTGGTCCTGCTCGTCCTGCTGGTCCCGTTGGTGCGGCTGGAGCGGTGGGAGCGGTGAGAGCGCTGTGAAGACGCCACGGAGCGGCCGTCATCGTCCACAGAGCGGCGCCGAGGGGCCTCGATATAGCGCTGCTCGGGCTTGTGCTGGTAATGCTGCGGCGACTGGGGGTAGTCGTAGTCGTCGTACTGGCTGGGCGGGTACTGGCCCGGGTACTGATCGTGTGCTACCTCGTGGGCGACATCAAAGGTCTGGGCGCGCCTGATGCCGGGCGACGGCCCTTTGAGATGGGCCTTTCTGTCATGGTAGGCGGCCTTGGCGTCCTTGAAGATGCCCAACAGTTGTTTGCCCTGGGTCGGTCAGCAGTTGCGGTACTGGCGCGGTGCTCTGGTGCTTCTTACCGTGCTGATGATCTTCCCCGAGTTGTTGATGATGGTAATAGTTTCCGCCATACTGCCAGCCTCTTGGTCCAGCAAGCAGGCTATATGTGTGTGGCAGATGACTCCAGACGACTGCAGAGGCTGCAGATGACTCCAGACGGCAGACGTTGCAGACGAGATCCAGAGAGGGCGGCGGCAGCATATGTACGGCCCAGCCCAGGTTCACGTGCTGGCGCCAATTTCTGGTGCTGGGAGACGGCCTGGGGCCTCCACCGTTGGTCACTCCACTTGCTGGTCTTGTCCGACGATGGGGCAGAGGGGCCGCCATTTGCTTGTTGATGCATGCCCTGGTGGCTGCCCCGGTGGCATGAGAGCAAAGATTTCCATTTGCCCTTCGATGCGGAGCCGCTGCACCGCTGGATGGCTATCCCTGGCGTCAGGGGTTTCATTGGCCGCGTCCCCACCCTCAGGCGTGTTCTCGCAGGCTGCTCGCAGGCCCTCGCAAGGTCCCCGGAAGCGCTCCGCCTGCCCCCTGCGCCAACCCAGCCCTCACCCAACCGCCCTCACCGCATGTCCAGCCCGCCAAGCGCTGACCGCCGACGTACCCATTGGTTCCAAGTTTTCACGGGAGTGTTTGCATATTCGGGAGACGTTGGGTCTCCCGTGTTTCCGTTTATGGGTGTTTTGGTCTATTTGGCAGGCATACACTTTAGCAAGCTGACGGCACAATTCAGGCTAGGCACAGACTACGCTAGCTTTGTTGTCCTAGGGCGCTCCATTGGCCAGGGGCTTGGGGGCTTGGGCGTTGACACGACACATGAGGGGGAGGGGTCGCCTCGTTTGGCTGACGCGTCTGACTGGTGGACGATGACGAACAGCCTCACTAATTCGTGCCTACGTGCATCTACCATACATTCATTACATGATGACCTCGTTGGCGACGTCCTGTATTGGGTTAGTGAATGCGGGAAGACAGACGAGAGCAGACAGATGCAGAGACTCACCCTCTTCAGCTCCTTAAACGGCAGGCACACGCAGTTCTGAACGCGCACCTCGTCGCCCACGCCGCACTCCTTGCCCAGAATGGTGACGGCCTGCACCTTGACTCCTCCCTTGACAATGCTGGTGCTGTGGCTGGTCGCCGGCGTAGGGGTGCCCTCGACGCGGGCCCAGGCGCCGACGCGGCTCCCCCAGCCAATGATGGAGTACAGCACGCAGGCGTCGTGCTTGACCTCGGCGTCCTCGAGCACGATGGACTCCTTGATGCGCACGCCCGGCCCGATGGTGGCCCGCGGACCGATGGAGACGTTGGGCCCCAGCTTGGCCGTCGGGTCGACGTGGGCGCTCGGGTGGATAAAGACCGGGGCCAGCACGTTGGGGCCCGGGGCGGCCAGCTCCTTGGACTGGCCGTGCCAGGCCTGCTGCAAATACAAAGCGTTGGCTGGCACGGCAGAGCCGGCCGTCTTGATCTGGCGCCAAAAGTCCTTGGTCTCGTAGACGAAAAACTGCTTGTTGTCGGCCATGTCGGACAGGATGTCCTGCTCCAGACGGATGACCTCGTTCTGCGACTCGCCCTCGTCCTCGTCGTACTGCACAAAGCTGGCCTCGAGGTTCTCCGACGACGGGTACGAGGCCAGGCGCGGGCGGTCGGTGCGGCGCTTGATGGCGGTGCGGATCGAGGGGAAGATGACGTCGGTGCTGAACAGGTAGACGCCGCAGTTGATCAGGTTGGAGATGTGCGACTCGGGCTTCTCGACGTAGTGCAGGACGCGGCGCGTGTGGTCGTCGCTAACGATGCAGCCAAAGTTGGTGGCGGCGTCCTCGCCGACGCGGGTGCCCAGGATGACGGCCTCGGCGTTCTTGTCGTTGAACATCTTGAGCATCTCGTTGAGCGGGAACGAGCAGCACACGTCCGAGTTGAGCACAAACAGGCGCTCGGGGCGGCCCTTGAGGATGGCATCGCGGAAGTGGTACAGGCCGCCGGCAGTGCCCAGGGCCTTGTACTCGCGGAGGTACTTGATGGTCAGGCCGGGGAACTCATGGGCGGCGTCCTTGATGAAGTCGCGGAACACGGACTCGTCGTAGTAGCCGATCAGGCAGACCTCGCTGATGGACGGGACCTTGGCGATGGCCGTGAGGCAGTGCCAGATGATGGGGTGGCCGGCGACGTCGAAGAGAGGCTTGGGCACGTCGAGCGAGAGCGGGCGGAAGCGGGTGCCTCGCGAGGAGCCGCCGACCTGTATGCGTTAGCGGGCACGAGAGGACAAGCAAGGAGACGAGTGCCTACCAGAATGACGGCCTTGGTGGCGGCCTCTTGCTGCGTGCCGTTTCCGCGGTGGGGGATTTGCAGCGACATGGTGGCGATGTTGATGTGTCCTCAGTCTCCTCTGGCGCTGCGTCGGCGAGTTTAGATTTTGTGTTTCTGCATGGCCAATCATTTGGCGGTGACGGAGCATGCGGGGTGCTATTGGAGTAGGCACGACGGGGACCAATCTGGCAGGCACGACGGGGAGCCCGGCACCCACTTCACGCTGTTGGAGAGCCAAAGAACTACCTAAACAAGCACTACCTAGGTCGGCACTACGGACCGACGCCTACGTTCTATTCCTATATTCCAGCCAAGGTGTTTACCACCGTCGAGGCCAGGCACTTCACGAGGCTTCGCCGTTAGCGCGACCCACAATTCTACCAGCCAGGCTCCTCGCGGCTTAGATAATTTCTGTTAGTAGCGCACGCCTGATTTGCGGGGAGCACTAACACCTGTGAACGACAACTGGGTGCTCCTCGAGATTCACCAACCTCCCTTCAATTCTGCTCGACCTGAACTTTTCCATCTCCTTCCTTGGTCCACCTCCTACCTGCATTTGATATCAGCACTGCACGCGATATCTGGATTGTGCTCGCATCTGCCCAGCTTGCACCCGATATCTGGCGCCGATATCTGGATTGCACCCGATATCCAGACTGTACTACCCACTCGGCTCCAGATCACGCATTCCCTTCACCCATGAACCATGCCTGCCCGTATCAAAAATGAGCGGCGCGCCCAGACCGTCGGCTCAGCTGCCAGGGCCTCGCTCTCCCCCGGCACAGTCCGCGAGTTCCCAAGCAGGGCTGCCCGGTCAGCTGCTCGTAAGTCCCCGACCTCCCGCCCGATTCTCGATCTCTTCTAATCCATCACAGCTAGCGCGAGCACCTCCCAGGCCCTGGCCTCGCTTCCGGCAGCGTCCGAGGCGGAAGAGATCGACGACGAGGTAATGATAATGGAGACGCGGCCCAAGCGGAGAGGCGCGGCCGTCAAGTCCGAGTTCATCAGCTCGGAGCCGCAGAACGAGTCCTTCTTTGGAGGTAGCATCTCCAACGACTCGGTTCTCAGGCGCAACTTTGGCAAGATCGCCAACAACCTGACTGCGCTGGGCGAGACCCTCGGCGAGCTTCAAACTCTGGGCATCCAGCATGTGGCGGCACTGCCGTCGCTGGTGCTGGTGGGCGATCAGAGCTCGGGCAAGTCCACACTCATGTCGGGCATCGCTGGCATCTCCCTCCCCCAGAGCGACGGAATGTGCACCCGCTGCCCACTGCACATCCGTCTCGCCAAGAGTCCGACCTGGAAACTTCAGATATCGCTCCAGCAGGACTATAAGTTCGACCCGGATAAGCGCCATAAGGAATTCGGCAATTGGATCGACCAACCCCGCGTCACCAGGGAGTTTTGGTCCACGACGGTCAAGGACGACACCGACAGCCACATTCGCATGGCCCTCGGCTGGGCTCAGGTTGCCATCCTGAACCATGACAGCAACTATCGGCAGTACATCCCGACGTACCGTGACCGGCTGGAGCCGGAGCAGGAGCAGCAGGAAAAGGCCCGTCTCGAGGAGCAGGAGCGTCTCGCCAGGGCAACCTTCAGCCCCAACACAGTCGCCCTGCACATTTCGGGCCCCAGCTGCCCAGACTTATCATTTTATGACCTCCCGGGCATCATCAAGACGCCCAAGCACGAAGAGCAGTCGTATCTTGTCAAGATGGTCGAAAACCTGGCTACCAAGTACATCAACGACAAGAACGCCATCATAATATGGGCAGTGGCCATGAACGCCGACCCCGAGAACTCGTCCACACTTACGCTCATCCGCAGCAAAAAGGCCAAGGACAGGACGGTTGGGGTCATGACCAAGGCGGATTTGCTCCCGCAGTCCGGTCGCAATCACGACCAGTGGCTGCATATGCTCCAAGGCAAGCAGCACAGCGTCGGCCACGGGTTCTTCATCACGGCCCGAAAGCCTGGCCATGACCTCGATCATCAGAACAGGTCCGAGGAATCGTTTTTCAACGGCCACGACTCGGACGAAGCCAACTGGCCCAGAACGTTTGAGCCATTCAGCAAGCGATGCGGTCTGCAGGCGCTAATCGTCTTCCTGTCCGAGACGCTGAGCAACGCGTTCCATCAAAGCCTTCCTGGAATCCTCGGTATGATCGAAACCCGACTCACTGACATCAACGAGGAGTTGAAGCGTCTGCCCGACACTCCCCAGCACCCGTACAATGACATGATCCAGGCCATGTTCATGTTCCGAAAGGAGGTTGAGAATGAGCTCAAAATGGACGGCAACTTTGACAACGCCTGGGGAGCGCTGATCGAGACTTTCGAGGCGGACATTCTCAAGCTCAAGCCCAAGTACAACATCAAGGACCCCAAAGGCCCGCGGCCGACGCCGCCCGTGACACCGACGGCAAACAGGACCATCCAGGTTATCGATTTGATTAAGAGCTCCGATGAGGCCCCGGATACGCCGTCCCGTCGTCGGAATCACCGGGCCTTCATGGAAGGCCAAGATAACGTCTCGGGCACACCCAAGCGACCCCGGTATATCAAGGACGAGGCTGACAGCCGGGCCGGCAGCGTGGCGCCCAGCCTGTCGGGTGCAGGTGCGGATATCCGGACGCTGGAGCAGGTGCGCAGGTGCATTCGCGGGGCGACCAAGCACGGGGTGCCCGACGAGATGCCCACCGAGGTCAAGCGCAACCTCAGCCTCGAGGCCATCGCGCGCTGGGATATCCCGCTCAACGAGTTTATGTCGCAGTTCGTCAAGCTTTTGCAGGACGAGCTCCAGAGGCTGCTCAGACGCTCGTTCGACGACCTGCACAACAAGGCCGTATTCTACAACGCGCAGGAAGTGGTGGGCCAGTTCGTGGTCACCCAGGATGCGGCGCTGAAGCAGATGCTGTCGGCGTTGCATCACCGCGAGCGGAACCGGCTATATACGCGCGACGAAATCTCTTTCGACCATTGGCAGCAGTACGAGCGCAATGTACTGACGCACTCGCGGCATTGGTATCGGTGGGGCGCGCACATGGCCTCGCAGCGCAACCCGAGAGAGCAAAGCCCCCTCATTGCCTGGGACAGCATGTCGGCGCAGCAAAAGCACGAGGAGGAGAAGGAGCGGCAAACGCTGGAGCAGGCGCAGGGCCCGGACCCGTACCACAAAGAACTCGAGGTGTGCTCGTACGTACGGGCCTACTACCAGACGGCGGCGCGGCGGTTTATCGACTCCGTCGCGCTGGCCGTCGGGGCCGAGCTCATCCCGGCCCTGGTGAGCAAGCTGGCGCGCGAGTACCACCTGGACCAGTCGCTGGGCTTCCGCACGGGCGTCACCATGGACGAGGCGCGCGTGGAGGAGCTCATGGCCGAACAGCCCGAGGTGGCGGCCAAGCGCGGCAAACTCCAGGACGAGCAGGGAAAACTCGAAAGCGCCATGGCGTCGATAAATAAGCTCAAGCTGGAGTCGGCCGACAACGATAGCGCCGTTGACGTCGGCAGCCAGACGAACCCGGCCACGTCGTTTGCCAGCTGGGGCGAGCGGTTCCAGGCGACAGTTGACGATAACGATGAGGGCGCTGTGGCTTAGGTCCAGGCGTTCGACATGGATGCGTTTTTATGTATTGCGGGTTTGCCGGGATTTTCAGCCGTGTGTTCTATTCCTATTTTGTTTGGTGCCTGGCTTAGCCGCACGGAGCGTCCGCTAGCGGTGTCTGCCTCGTAGGCGCAGTGCTGGAGATGTATAATAGGGCCTTTGCGGTACACTTGAGAGTAGTTGAGCAGATCACAGATGTTGAGCAGATCACAGATCAGACAGAATCAAAATGTCCCCCCATACCATCGACTTCCTTTCCCTCCCGCCCGAAATCCGCAACGCCATATACGTCCTCGTCCTACTCTCTACAGAGCGCCTCATCCCCGACCGCTCCAGGACGCAATTCCCCGCCTGGCCCTTCTATCACCGCGAGGCCCCAGCACGCCCTCCACGCGCCTCCCGGCTGGCGCTCCTGGTGACGTGCCGCACCATTCACGCCGAGGCGTCGCCCCTCTTCTACGGCAACGTCATCTTTGAGCTCGTCGACCCGCGCTCGCCGCGCTGGACGCTCCCGTGGCTGCGCACCATCGGCGCCAACGCGGCCGCCGTGCGGTTCCTGGCCGTGCACGCGCGCGAGCGGCCCGGCTACCG